TCGGTCCTGGATCAAATCAAGACTGAGCTTGTCCTGGAAGCAAAAATGACAAAACTTAGGCTGCATGTGAAAAGCAAGACTCACTAGAGAAAACAATCATGTTAGGGAAAGTTGCAGACAGAAGGCAAAAGGGAAGACCAGATATGAGATGGATTGATCCATAAAGGAATCTTGAACTTGGAAGAGGTGAATGGAGTTTCTTGGAGGCCTTTCATTCATAGCATTAAAGGTAAAGGGAAAGGTTTCCCCTTAACGTTAAGTCCAGTCATGCCTGACTCTCGGGGGCGGTGCTCATCTCCGTTTCCTAGCTGAGGGAGCCAGCGCTTGTCCGCAGACAGTCTCCATGGTCGTGTGGCCGGCATGACTAAGCTCCGAAGTGCACGGAACGCTGTTACCTGCCCACCGAAGTGGTACCTTTTTATCTACTTGCATTTGCAGGCTTTTGAACTGCAAGGTTGGCAGGAGTTGAGACAGAGCAACGGGCACTCACCCCGTTGTGCAGATTCAAACTGGTGACCTTTCGATCAACCAGCCCAGCAGCACAGCGGTTTAACCCACTGCGCAAAGAGGAATTGAAAGTGCATAGCAAAAACAGCAAAACCTGTATAGGATTCACCCCAAGCACACCCAATGAACCTGTATCTTCAGATATTGTACTCTAATCCCCATCAGTACCAGTCAAGATGACCAGTGGTCAGGATGATGGGGGCTGAAGTCCAACATCTGGGGGGGACTTAGGGTCACCATACCTGCTTTGGAGGAGGATTACTGGCTTCACTGCTCATAAAGATCTGGTTGGTCACTGTGGGGGAAAGCAATGCCAGGCTAAGTAGACTCTTGTACTCTCTCAGAGCTCATCTTAGATTCTTACAGTCCTCTAAGTCTTCCCTGGAACTTCCTATTAGTTCAACTGCAGTGAAACTATGGAACGCATCCTGCTTTCATGACAAAGCTTTCCCCTTCTTCTCCCTAGGTGCTTTACCATTCAGTTTTTAATAACAAACCTGTAACTGAAAAAAAGTTGATTGAAAAGCACACAGAACCATCCAAGTATTTGTCTAGTTTTTTGAGTTCATGAAATTCTTGTATGCTGCATGACTCACCGGCTTTCTGAAAGACTGTGTCATTTTCTCACATTCATAACTTTGCTCCTTCCTATGAATTTCCTGCTGCACTTCTTCTTTCATTTAGACAATCTTTTCTTCTATGGTCACCCTCAGCAGTGAGGAAATTAAAATCAGTGAGGTTAACATCTCCTTCCGCACTTGCCATCTCCTATCAGTAATTTAATCTTTGAGCTTAAAACCTGTGTTTTGGAATGAGCTTGATGCCATTTTAATAAGGTAAGCAGCACCTTTCTGCCTCCTTTGCTTTCTGGAACACACGTTTAGAGGAGAGGCATAAGCAAGGGAAGAGATGAACATTCACTTACACCCCTGTTCCGAATTGTCTTTTGGTGCGAAGTGATGCTTGTCATGGTTAAGTGGGTAAACCCAGCACAAACCCAAGGCAGAAATAAAACGATGTTCAGAAATAAAACAATGACACAGCGTCCGGTGTCTCTGACTGGGCCAAATGCACACTGTGTGCAACCTCACAGCTCCAACCACCTATGATAACATGGGTTTCCCTACCCAGGTGTGCGCGTCACCTGACTGCTGTATGAGAATAATAACTGATGCCTGCTCAGAGAATCTGGATCTACAGTGGAGGCGGTGGAGAATCAAGAGGAAACACCCAACAGGTAGAATGCATCCCAGCATAAAGCTGTAGTCACCTATTTTTATTTAATGTCTCTATTGTCCAACTAGGGATGCAGGTGGCGCAGTGGTTTAAACTGCTGTGCTGGTTGATCGAAAGGTCGCCGGTTCGAATCTGCACAATGGGGTGAGTTCCCGTTGCTCCGTCCCAGCTCCTGCCAACCTTGCAGTTTGAAAGCATGCAAATGCAAGTAGATAAAAAGGTACCACTTCGGTGGGCAGGAAACAGCGTTCTGTGCACCTCGGTGTTTAGTCATGCCGGCCACATGACCACGGAGACTGTCTGTGGACAGACGCTGGCTCCCTCGGCTAGGAAATGATGAGCACCGCCCCCTAGAGTCAGGCATGACTGGACTTTAATGTCAAGGGGAAACCTTTACTTTTACCTTTATTGTCCAACTGGCAAATGCCCACAAGACAGTTTGCAGTAATATCTCCCTTCCAATTTACCAGTAAATCAACAACTAAGACAACAGCTGCAAATAAACACATTAGTCTTGTATGATCTTGGTACTTCTTAGAGCACTTGCTAATGTTCCCTCAAAGTCAAGTCACGTTCTGCTGATATTCCTAAGAATATAAGAACAGAAGAAGAGGTGCACTAGATCAGACCATGGTGCATCTAGTCCTGCATCTCCCCACCCATGTTCCACAGCAGCTAGTGTAAACAGACATACTGTCTCTGATTCTGGAGGCAGCATATAGCTAACAGGACTAGTTTACCTCAAAATTGCCCTTCTCTCTGGCAGTTATGAACTAGCCTGCTATCAGCTGGAGGGAACATCTCATCTACAGATACTTGCTTTTGTTGTCTCCTCTGTCCTGGGCACATGTCATAAAACACATTCCATCAATTAAACTGGAAACTAAGTGCCCAGACAACCTGTACAGATTTGAAAAAAAGATGAAAGACATGCACTGTTTTCCTTAGCCCTAGCACCCTCAACAACGCGAGCCACCGAGCTCAGCGTGTGCCGGGGGCAAGCACCCAACTCCCCATCCCTCAGGCTGGTCCCATAGCTAACCTTAGAAGGACACACCGGCCTAGTCTCAGGAAGAGTCTGCATTTTCTGCCACCACGCTTGAGAGCCTTCTAGGTGGAGATGCAAGCAACTGGATACGGAGCAATTGTGTCCTCCATCCCTGAGTTAAGGGCCTTCCAGGCCTTTCCCCCTTCCCTAAGATTGAATGAGGGCTTTCAATCTTAAAATGCCAGAAACAAAGCAGCATCTTACACGTTCCCAGAGGGACGCATGGCATAGTTCCCCAATTCGGAGCCCTCCAGGTGTTGTGCATCTATATTCCAAGCACTCCCTTCTCCCCCTTGCATGGCCAGTGCTTAAGGAACCAGGAACCAAACAGCACCTGGGGAAGGTTGAAGTCTGCCTGCTGGATACAGTAGCTACCCCAGCCAAGGATGTCCACTGTGGAGGAACCCTCAGCTCCAGAAGTTATCTGGATAGTCGCCCTGTGATGGTTCAACTTCCTGGAGGCCACAACATCACACCCACCACCAGGTAGGAAGCCTTCCTTTCAGTGCAACTTTGGGGATGCGAAGTCGCAGAGAAAATGCTTTGGTTCTGAAGGAAAAGCTACAAGGTCAGTTTAAAATGCCCTCAATGATCCCGTTTTCTTCTTCATATTGCATTTCCCCGAATTTTCTCAGGCACACATGGCAACTGCTTGTACAGCTGAAGATCCCTTCTCCACCTTATTTTGAAATGGAACACTGAACTTCCATTTTGGGCAGGGACTTCAGGCATCGAGGCGACCCTTGGCATTCCATTCAGTCTTTCTCCTCTCCCTAAGCAGTAACAACTTTTAAGTGTGGACTCAGCGGGGAAATTGCTTCAATCTGCGCTGCTATGAATGCATTGCAATATCCTATAAGATTTTGCATAGTTAATACACAAAAATATAGTCAGGCATTCGGATCGCTTGCTTAACAGATTAGGGGAGGGCTGAACGGATTAAGTGGTTTTTCACACAATAAAACGGGGGGAGCTTTCTCTCGGCGAATTATCGGGACCCGCCCCCCCGAGATCTCGGTCTCACGGCGGCAACCCCCCCCCCCCCGCCCTGCGCCCAACTGCTGAGTCTCGGCTGAATAAGTCTCCCTCCCCTCCCCGGCCGCCCCTTCCCTAACCAAGCGCAGATCGCCGCTCCCCGGGAGGCGCCAAGCCCGAGCGGCGCCCCTGGAGCTTGGGCTCCGCCAGCGCTCCCGGACGGGGCACGAGGCAGCGCCTCCCGGGCCAGGACGGGCCGAGCGCTGCGCTGCGCCCCGGCCCAGTGCGCCCGTCCTCGGCGCCGAGGGAGAGCGGCCGCGCTGCGGGGCGCCCGCCACGTGGAGCAGGAGGCGCGCCGGCGGCGCGGAGGGACGGGAGGGGCAAGGGCCGGCCCGACGACCAGCCCCGAGCGCCTCCTCGCCGCCGGAGTCGCTGGGCGGTCCCGGGGGCTCGCGGGGACCGAGCGCCCGCCAAGCCTCCCGCGCGGAGCCCCGTCCTCGCGGCTCCCGTAAGTGGCGTGCCCGGGGTCCGGAGAGGAACGCGAGCCGCGGGAGCGCTGCCAGCCCTGAGCCGGCAACGTGGGACGACCGCGAGCCCCCTGAGCCGGTTGGCCGTGGCGATCCGCAAGGGGTTTGAGCTCGCTCTGCGCTTCCGCGCCGTCGCCTTGAAACCCGAATTGCTGGGCGCCGCGAGAGTGCTGGGTTTCGTTGGCTTCTGCTCGCGTGCGTGCGTGCGTGCTTGTGTGTCTCCACAGCTGGGCATCCAAACTGCCGAGACGGTTGTGGGTGGCGTCGTTCCCCGTGGAGGAGCGGGGGTTGCTTCGGCGAAATGCAGGGCTTGATGGCAAAAGTTCAGACTGATCTCCTCGCCTAACCAACTTCAACCCGCGGCTTCCCGGCTGGTCTTCTTCTCAGTTGTTTCCCAGCCTGGTGCCCTCCAGAAGTTTTGGACCATAACTTCCAGAATTCCTGTCTTCTGGTCTTGCTGATGGGAACTGAATTCAACTCATGTGGAGGGCGCGAGGTTGGGGATGGTGGATCTAGCGACCGGTGCCTGAAATCCAGGGACTTGCCAGTTTGCCTTGCCGAACCAAGGTAATAGGGGCTGGGCGATCTGACCCATGCGCTGGTACCTGGCATGATTGAAAAGAGGAGCCCCATTGACTTTCAGTTGCAGGTTTGACATTTTTCATTCCAGTCTTCAAATCTTTATTATGATTACTACTTCTAGTGAACTAACCTTTACCTGGAGATGCTTGGTCCAACTCCAGACAAGGTTAGTGCTTTACCTGGCCAAGCTGAATTGAAATGAGGAGCAGAAGAAGGACAGCAAGCAGGAAAACAGCAGAGTTCTGTGGCACCCTGAAACTTGCCTGTTTATTCCAGCATGAGCTTCCACAGGTGAGAGTCTGCATCTGACAAAATGGACTCCAACCCACCAAAGCTTGCACTGCTATAAATTGGTTACCATTTATGGTGTCTCTGTCCTCTTCATGGCTTTGCTGCGGTAAGCTTAATATAGTTATTCCTCTGAAATTTTTGTTGTTGTGAAAGGCAAGCAGAGAAAGATGAACTGTGTACCCCAAACTGCAGAGTGCCAGCATTTAGTTCCTCTTAAACAGAAGCAATATTCCTGCTTGTAGAGACAGAGCTTAATCTGGTGAGGGCTGATCTACACGAGTGAGGTTTGAGCTTTCTGCTTCGTTATTTGTGTTCTCTGACTGGTTGATGCATTTTATCTTTGATATCAGGTTGTCTCCTGCTGAATCAGCTTTTAAACGTGTGTTTCTTCTCTAAACATCTACCTCTGTGTGTATATTTATCTCTTTATCTCTGCACACACATATCCGGCTTTATCCATGCCTAGACTTGTATTCCTTGCGACTGACTGTTCTGGGCTCCTTTGAATACCTCTGTTCTTTCTCCCTTGCCATCCTGGAACTCTCTCCCTAGGTGATCTCCAGCTTTTCCAGAAAATCCCTCATGAAAACCTACCCATTCTGCAAAGCTTTTGTCCATTATCCCAGATCCTGTAAGTCAGGCTTTTGCATCTTGGCATCCTCCAGATAAGTTCAATTGTAACTCCCAGAATTTCTGGGAATGATGCAGTGGGTCCAACGCACCTTGAGGGTGCCAGGCTGGGGGGAGCTAATATACATTGAACAGACAGTGTAGGATTCTAGAGTTGGAGGGTGCCTTTTAAGGCCGTTTATTCCATTCCTACCCCACGCTTATTTTCAGTGCAGGAAATCCAGAGCCAGGATGCCCGCAACAAGTGACTGTCCAGCCTCTGCTTGAAGACCCCCAGTGAGAAACCTAAGCCAACCTTCCCCAGCCAAGCATCTTTCAGATGTGTCAATGGCTGTTCTATTTGGAAATTATGGGGGTTGTAGTCCAGCGCTCCTGGAAGGCACTACCACTGGTCTTGGTAGTTAATTCCTTGTTCCACTTGCCTTCTCTTCCTCCCTTTCCTCTGTTGTCTCTCCTTGGTCTTCAGCAGATGGCAAGCTGTTCAAGTCATCAACCAGATCTTTTGTTTATGTAATCTGCAAAGTGCTATCCACATTGCTGGTACTCTGAAAATAATACAGTTCTAAACATATCCACTGCTGTCTTAGCGTGTGCATGTATTCGAAGGGTGTAGTCTCTTTCCTATTTGACACCCTGTATGATGTATCTGTTAAGGGGGTCAGTCTTAGACCAAAGGAGACACAATTCAAATCCCTGCTCAACCAGAAAGTTCACAAATTGTTCTGCTCCAAAATGTTGTAAGGATAAAAAGGGGAGCATATATATTGCCCTGAGCACTTTGGAAGAAGGACTGGATAAACATGCAATAATAATTCCTATGAAAACAAAAAGGCTTGTAGGGTGTCATGGACCTTTTCATCTTCTCTGTCATTTGGATTGCTTGTGCCTAATGCTAAAATGCGATTCTTCTCTCTTCCACTCTCTGCACCCTCCCCCTCCACAAGTCCCTAAATGTGGAAGGCAATAGCTCTATCAGACAGTATGAATTTGATCTCACTGCACTCTGTTTTGATGGTTTTTAAAATACATTCTGAAGGACATGCATTGTAAAAAATAGTGACAATAATTATTGATTCTTTCATCACAGTTCAATCTGTAGTTTTTCCATTGAGGGACTTTACAGTTTAGGAGGTTTCTAGCTTATAAAACAATAAAAACAATTATCATCTTTGGCTATCAAAATCTGATGTTTGGCTTATCTGACTGTGAAATAAATTCCACTCCATGTTTTAATATTGGATTTTCTTGCCCAGGGCTTGCAGTTCTGTCCAACCTATGTTAATTATAGTGAGTTTCCTTCCAGGGCTGTAGCTGTGATAGTAGGGAATCGAGACAGAGGATTTCTCATCAATCCAACTTCCTGAATTTTTTGTTTTTAATTTTTTAAGTGCATCATTTCCAAATCATACCAGGTACTACCTCAGCATTGGTAAGGCCTCACCTTGAATAATTTGTCCAACATTTTCTGGATACCATAATTCGGGAAAGATGCAAAGAAAGTGGGAAAAGGTTCAGAGTAGGGCAACAAAGATGATCTTGGGACTGGAAACAAAGTCCTCTGAGGAGAAATAACTGGGCATGTTTAACCTTGAGAAGAGAAAACTTGGAAGCCAGGATCATTTTTTATCATCCCAGAGGGCTCAAGTTACAGGAAACCAGATTTCTGATGAACATCAGGAAAAACTTCGGCACAATACAACAATGGAACCAGTGGCCTGGGGAGGCCATGGGCTGCAGATGGGCAGCCATTGGTCAAGGATGGTTTAACTTGGAGTCCTGCATTGTGCACGAGGTTGGACCAGTTGCTTTCCAATTCTGCTCTTCCATGACTCTGTGCCTGCCTCTCCACTTACTAGGGTATGTGGATGGAACCTTGTGGCACTGCCAAGACTAGCAAATGTATGATGGTATAAGCTTCAAGGTGCCACAAGGCCCTCTGTTGAATTCACTGTAAACAGCAGAATAACTCGGCTAAGTCTTTGGAAATGGACCAATTACATAACTTAAACATATTTGTCTACCTATATGTGTTTCTGAATATTCTGCCAAGGTTCTCTGTTTCCTTAGACACACAGATTACAAAATGACTGAGTTCAGATAGCACAAAACCCACACTCAAGTGTTGCTGTTGAAAAGTGAGTTATGTTGTCTAACTCAGCTGTGCTATGTGGCTTGCTAACCACAAACAGCCCATGAAGAGAACCATGATTTGTTGCTGAGTTGTAACTCTTGGCTGTTTACCATGGTTTTTTTATCCTGACTGGCTTAGCCAACATGATAACCCATGGTTCAATGGCAACCCTCAGTTGACCCATGCCCAACCCCTAATGTTGAGTGGAGCAAGCCATGAGTGGAGCCGACTGGAGCTGGGGGTCAGACTAGATGGCCAGGAGGTCACCTCTGCCTGGCTCTGTTTCTGTGTTTGTTTTATGTCCCACCTTTTTTCTTTTTTAAAGAACTCAAAGCAGCTTACCTCCTCCTCCTGCTTTCAATCTTATCCCCACAACAACAGCCCTGTGAAGTAGGTTGGGCTGAGAGTCTGTGACTGGCCCAAAGGCACCCCATTGGCTTCATGGCTGAGCGGGGACTAGAACCCAGATCACCTGAGTCCCAGTCCAACGCTCTTAACCACTACACCACATTGGCTTTGTGTTCCCCACTGGCATGGGGAACATGGGGCCCTTCAGAAGTTGTTGGACGGCCCCTCCCAGCCTCCCATGTCCATTGGTTAAGTTGGCTGGGGCTGCTAGGAAATGGAGCTCAGCAAAGTCTGAAAGGCTGCATTTCCCAGCCTCGATGAATACTCTAGAGCCAGCCTCCCTTGGTGTCCGCTCTCCACTGATTTTATTTTATTTCTGTTATTTGGTTGTGTTGTCGTTGTTGTTTTTTAAAGTGGCCTGCTGTAACCTGAAAGCTGCCTTTTGATGCCAACTTTCTTTGGGTTCCAGAGGGCGTCTTTGTGGCTTGGGGCTCAGATGGCTGAACGCGGCTTCCTGCGGGGGTTGGTTCTTTTAGTCCCTCTAGCTTGCCTTCTGAGAAATGAGTGCTTTGTGACTAGCCATGCCCACCATGGCAACCTTTTCCTGCGCAGGCAGCCCTGCTCCTAATTGCAGCCATTTCTGGACAGCATCCCCAACACTCTCAAGCTTCCAAAGGTGTCAGCTGACCCAAAAGGCTGGGCTGACTTAGCTCATTCATTCATTCATTTAGAATTTTTGTATGCTGTCCCATTCGCATGAGCGTCCATATATGCCCTCCCGCCCCCTGAGATCGGCAGCAGAGGTGCTCCTCCGGGAACCCTCCGTGAAAGACATTAAGAGGCTAAGTACCCGGAGGAGGGCCTTCTCTGCGGTGGCGCCCCACCTATGGAATGCGCTCCCCAGAGAGGTCCGCCTGGTGCCGTCCTTATTTGTTTTTCGGCACCAGGCCAAGACCTTTTTATTTAAACGCTATTTTAACTGTTAATGGTTTATTTGTTGATTTTAAATTGACCGGGCTGTGTCCACTATTTTATTTTATGTATTTTATTTATTTGATGATTTTTATTTATTTATTTATTTTTGTATTTTATGCGGGATTTTATGATTGTAAGCCGCCCCAAGGTTCATGCGATGGGGTGGCATATAAGTTGTTTAAATAAATAAATAACACAATATAAATAGTGCACATAAAATCCAGATTCACCCTGGCTGCAAATTAAAAACCTATAGATGATATTAAAGATTGTTAAAATATTGTTTAAATAAAAAGGTCTTAGCCTGGTGCTGAAAAACAATTAACGACGGTGCCAGGCGGACCTCTCTAAATATTTCTTTATTCATATGTCGCCTGTTGTCCCATAGCATCTCTAGGCTGCTCACAATCAGACAATTAAAACCATTATAAAAACTAAAACAGCAACAACACCTTAAGAAGTATACAAATCGAATAACTAAACTACATCATTTAAAATACAAATGAAATACAAAGAGAAGCTAAGTGGCATCATTTTTAAAGGTATGTCTTTGACCGGCACTGAAAAGAGTATAAGGAAGGTGCCAGAGGAAGCTCCTTGGGGAGAGTGTTCCAAATGTGGGGAGCAGCGGCAGAAAAGGCCCCTTCCTAGCTGCCTTTATGGGGAACTTTTGCGGGACTGCTGAGCTGTAGCCCCTTCCTGAATGTGCTGTCTGGAATACTGTTGAGCCATACTCTGACTGCAGTGAAAGCTTTTTCCTCTGCAGAGAAATGCATATGAAAGGTTTGCATTGGGATGCTAACCCACATCAGTTTTGTCAGGAGGAGCTAAAGAACTCTCCAAGCACGAGTCTAATCTCCTGCAGGTGAAGCTTGCCAGCGGATGAGCTCTGCTCTCTGCATGGTCCGGCTTCGAAAACACGGCATGAGCGAAGAAGCTAGCTCTAGGCTGCCCCCTAACGTCAATTCCTGTCAATTCCGGCTCAGACTTGGGTGGCTCAATCCATATTTGTAGAACTCTGTCATATTTATAGAACTTTTACACATGTTTAGTTGCTTCATAGTTCACAAAAACATGTAATCAAACATGAAATCAAATAAATTAATAAAATCCAGATCATAAAACAATTGATAAAAAGCAAAACCCCATTCGAACATACGGTGCCATACAGAACCAGAAGAAGGACTTAAGCATCTGGGGTCCCTTTCCCTGGTTGCCGCCTCCATTTGGAGCCCATCAGTTGCAGCCAGATGGCCCATGATGAGGGGAGACAGGAGTTGCAGGCCAGCCAGTGCTGACCGGAGGTTTTGTTTCTCTGGGCAAGATGCCTTCAGTGGGCCCACTTTCTCCATTAAACGATCGCCCTGCACCACTGCAGGCGGCTGCTCTCGCTTCTGTTCCTCAGCACCGCTACCACTGCCTGGGCTTACGGGCAGAGAGGTGATGAGCTGGGAGGCAGTGGCTTCTATTGCTCCTTCTACTCACAGCCTCTCCATCTGGGCCAGGGGAGAGACAGGCATACAAGCAGCGGAGGAGCAAATTTAGGCCCCTCTTGGTGTGGGGGCCCTTAGCAAGGGTCCAACCATGCCTACGCTTGGCGCCTGTCCTGAATCCAACAAACCCTAGAGGGCCTCAGGTAGCCCATCCCTGCTGTAAAGGCAGGGGCACCTGCAGCCTGCACCTCGGATTATTCATACGGGAGAAGAAGGGAATCCTTTCTCTAACAGAAACCCTACTGTGCTCATAATGCTTTCTTGGACACTTCAGGTCTTACTGTGTCCAATCCATATGTTTTTGGCCAGGTTGGTGCTAGGAACTGAAAAGTTCTAGGGTTCAGGATGTTTTTAAGCACAAATTTGCTGATGTACTTTGTTTCTCCTGTTGAATGCTTTGGTCCTTAACATCATCTGCTGGATATTGTTAAATTGTTTTAAGTGTGAATGGCCTCTTTTTACAAAAGGTGAGGTGGTGGGCCTAGAGGTATTCAGAAACAAGGTCATTCTTAGATACCTGAAGAGCTGCTTTGATAGGAATAGTATCTCAAAGTGTTATGTTTTAGAGGAATGTCCGCTTCCAGGTCTAGACCAGGTTCCTTTTGGCCGAGGGTTCAATGAGGTGGTGAACCCACTTATGGGTTGTATCGCTTTATAGTCAGGTGTGTACTTGCGTGAAAGATGAAAGTGCCTCCATGCAAAATAAAGCTATCATTAAAATCCCTGCAGAGGCAGTGCAGGCAGTAGTAAGAGTAGTATTCTTACTGCTATTGCTATCGAGGCTGTGTAACCCAACACAGAAAAGGTGGACAACACACAGGCTACGGTTTGCATGCAGCCCAGAGCCCCTATCCCACCCCAAGTTACTGCCACTGTGCCACAGTGATTCGAACATCCTGCTGGAGGCTCGGTCTTGGTTTGCTCCCTGCTGGAGCATCGTATCGTCTGACTTCCAGACCCAGGACCACGCAAAGCCTTCTGTGCTGCCGGGCCCTTCCCAACTCATTCACCTTCCCAACTTGACCCTTGCTAAGGACAGGACCATGGCAGTACCCTGCAACTCAGGCTGCGTCAGAGTGCGTGATCAAACCCATTCCCTGAAGCATCACGCAAGGACAGGAGCAGCTCTCTCTGTCTGAGACTGGGTGGGCCCTTCTTTGCTGGGGAGGCTGCTGGTGTCACCATGTGTGTCTCGGTTTGCAGAGTGCGCAGAGATGCACATGGTCACAACCATATAGAAATGTTCCTCCATACATGCACACCACCCATTGTTGTGAAGAGGATTTTACTAGCATATATAAATACATGGCACGGACACTTCAGTGAAGCACCAGAAGGTCCTAGTGCTGAAAGGGCTACAACTCCCTTTGTAACAGTGCATTGCTGGGCTAACATGTTCTGCTTTATCCTTTAGATCCGGTTGGGAACAGCAAACCATGACAGCCTGCCGAGCCTTTCTCCTCTCCGAGATACGGTGCTTTGCATTTAAGGGCCACAGCACATCCTCCGCCGAATCATGAATTATTTACAGATGTTAAGTTTGGAGGACCTTCTCAGACAAATGGCCCTTCTGAGTGGTAAGTGGCCACGTAGTCAAAGAGTATGTGGCAGTGAACAACCAGTGGTGCAGCGTGAAGTACTTGTAGGTTATGCGCAGCATGGAGAAAGAGGATCCATCCACTTTGGACCATCAGGCTCATATAATGCTAGTACTTGTGGGCACCCAAAGAAATCAATGGGCAATCAATTTAGCGCGGTACTTCTTTGGCAAGGGGCGGCATAGAAATGTGATGATGATGATGATGAGCTTCTGATGCTCAGGAACAAAAACTGGTGCTGACCACTAGCACAGATGGCTTTAAACAGCCATTGTTGACATGTCTGACCTGCAACAAAATGTTGCGGCGTGGAATGCTGCTGTTCAGGATTTCAGCCATGCCAGGCCGTTCCTTCCCGTCCTCCTCGCCCTGTTTCCATTTCTGCCATCCGTCCATGGTCACTGCACATGCTTATTCCTCATCTGGTGGTTTTGCAGTCCCTGCCACCACCCAATATACTTGGGCAGTACAAGTTTGGGATTCTCCCACATGTGCTGATACTTCTCCGTCTGGTTGGTGCCATGTCGGCTACATAAACAATTGCACTTGCAATCTGCCCTTCAAGAACTACCCTTCCTGGTCAGAGGCCGTGTGCCGCTGCATAGCAACCAGTTGCAAAGCCGTGCAGCAATGGCAGAGGCCCGTGGCCTTCCTGGGTTGCTGTGTGGGCGTCCCACACTGAGCCACGGAGAGAAATGTGAATGCTAAGTAGATGGTCCCTTGCTCCGATCTAGCAGCGCTTTCTTCATGAACTTATGTTATGCTCAGGTGCTATATCACAGCTGCTGGAATGGTGTTCTGCCAGTGAAGTCTCTGTTTGCATTAGGACTTAACCCTGAATTTATTGTTCAGTGCATGTTTCCTGCAGCTCTAGCAAACCATATTCCTTCTTTTATGAAAGAAGTGCAGACCTTCCTGTGCCGTGGGAGCACTTCTGTCATCACGGCAAAGGAAACTGTCTCAGCTGGATCGAATCCTTGGTCCATCCTGCCTGGAACGTTCAGCCTTGACTGGCAGCCACTCTCCTTGGTTTCAGGCGGGAGAACCTGGGACCTTTTGCAGGGGCAGCATGCATGCTGCTCAGCTGATGGCACGCTGCTGCCCTTGGCCTGTGTTGCTCAGTCTGCAGGTTGAGTCGCCCTTGCTGCCATCCTCCATTTCTCCCTGGAGAACCGAATTTGTCTCCAGAACTTGCAGTGTCTGAGAGTGGAGGAATGGCAGTTTGCTCAGGATGGGTTAATGGCTACAGTTATGACTGAGCCTGTATTCTCCAATGAGAATCTACACACAGGTACACAAAGTAATGCACTAATTGACCATTTCCTTGGGTCAAAATGCAACCCACACACTAGACTATCCAGGATAAAAAAATGAGTTTCTGAGAAGCGTTTAGGTGATTACACATTAAGGTTGCCATCCTATGTGATTTGGACAGGAAAAGGCCTACAACTTCCAGTGTGTCTGGCTGACGTCTCTTTCTGTTCAAACTTGGCATGATTGCATTTTAGGAAATGTACATAAAGTTGTTCTTCTTAATGTCCACGACATGTGAGCAGTAAATGCATTCTGCTGTTTCATGTATTATGTTCACTTAAAACTTAGACTCCAGGTATGCAGTTTCAGCCCCAAGGCCTCTTTTTCTGCAGGTTGGGGGCAACAATTAAACTCAGGGCACTATGGTAGCATTGGCTATCAAGCTTCGTGCTGGTCCTCTCCCTGAACCCGTGGCACTCCTTATATAGTTAATCTGGATGACAGAGAATTACATATGTTAGTATCTGGCAGGCATGGGAGACCTCTGGTGTATGGGCAGGAAACAGCCCACCGGAGTTCCCTTCCTGGCCTGCCAGCTTTTGCTTGAGGTCCCTCCTCTTCTTCCAAGGCAGAGGAACGCTCTTATCTATGATCAGCAGTTGATTGGAGATAAGAGCTTTACACACTGAGAAAGTTTCCCTTTCTCACCACACACGGTGCAGCAAGGAATAGCTTTTCTTGATCAACACTGAGAAAGAGAGTTGAGAAATACTTCCCTTCTTCGGCTGAAATGCATGAATGGTTGAGGAGAGGATACTGGGAAGGGGTGCCTATGTGTGTGAATTTAACCCTACTTTTTCCATGTTGTCTAGCTTGGCTCTCCTGTGTAATATGTTTAGAACGACACAGCATTAAACTGGGAGCCATCAGTTTTCTGCATATTCTGAGTCTGTGCAGTTGAGGATTAGCTACTGGAGACGTACATTGCAAAGCACCCGGTAGTCAATGCTTTGTAACCCCTTCGTTGTTATCTTGACTTCTTTTAACAGTGGCAAGCTCCCTCCCCAACCTCAAAGTCCCAATTCAGAAAGCCTGGTTTCAGTAAAGACGGAGAGAGGCATTCTCAAGTGTACGGAAAGGATTACGTTCATAAAAAGGAAGAAAAAGAAGCTGCTGCCAAGGATGACCCCGTACAATTGGTCCACAGAGCTGACTTTGCAGAACATGTCCAACGGTTCTCGGGGTGCTAATGCAATCTCAGAAGACTGGGACGAGGCCACATTGCTAGGCCTAAAGGTTTCCCTGGCTGTCATCCTGGCTGTGATCACTTTGGCGACAATGCTTTTCAACACCTTTGTTATCATCACCATTATTCTTACCCGAAAACTCCACACTCCAGCCAATTACCTCATCGGCTCCCTGGCGGCCACAGATCTCTTAGTGTCTATCCTCGTCATGCCGATCAGCATTGCTTACACGGTCAGCCACATCTGGACCTTTGGCCAGATCATGTGTGACATCTGGCTGTCCTCGGACATCACCTGCTGTACAGCTTCTATTCTGCACCTCTGTGTTATCGCCCTGGACAGGTACTGGGCCATCACAGATGCTCTCGAATACACCAAGCGCCGGACCGCTGGCAGGGCCGCTCTCATGATCACCATTGTTTGGGTGATCTCCATTTGCATCTCCATGCCTCCCCTTTTCTGGAGGCAAGCCAAAGCTCATGAGGAACTAGCCTCCTGCACGGTCAACACAGATCAGATCTCCTATACCATCTACTCCACCTGTGGCGCCTTCTACATTCCGACAGTCTTACTCATTATCTTGTATGGTAGGATTTATGTGGCTGCTCGATCCCGAATTCTCAGGCCACCGTCTCTGTATGGGAAGAGGTTCACCACAGCCCAGCTCATCACAGGCTCAGCAGGATCTTCTCTCTGCTCCATCAGCTCAAACCTTCATGAGGGGCCTTCCCATTCAAACAGCTCTCCAGTATTTATTAACCACGTGAGGATCAAAGTTGCCGATAGCATCCTCGAAAGGAAACGGATTTCTGCCGCCCGAGAAAGGAAAGCCACAAAAACTCTGGGGATTATTTTAGGCGCATTCATTTTCTGCTGGCTACCCTTCTTCGTTGTGTCTTTGGTCCTGCCCATTTGCCAGGAGTCCTGCTGGACCCATCCCATCCTGGTTGACATTTTCACATGGCTGGGTTACCTGAATTCACTAATCAACCCCATTATATATACAGCTTTTAATGAAGAATTCAAACAGGCTTTTCAGAAAATGATACGATTTAAAAAGTGCTTGTAGCCATCTGGTTTTGACATGGCTGCCAAAGCATAAGCATTAGTCCACCTGTGTACATAAATTCCCATGGAATAGGTGATAGATTATTGCTCTCTTTGTCTTATTGGCTGTATTTGGATGATCATTGCTATTTAATAAGCTGAGGATATGAATGAGCTCTCAACTACTAACAGAGCCCCTTTGCTTTTCCCTTGTTGGAGTGAGTGAACAAACCAGCAAGTCTTCAGTTAACTATAGTTTGCCATTTCATCCAAACCAAAACAAAAAGCAAAAACCCCCAATGACTTCAGAACAAGCCAAAATATGAAAACATGGTTTCATATGGCTTTATTTCTCTGGCTTGTTTGAAACCCCTAACCATTGTTTCCCAATCTGCATGAAACAGATAACTGTAGCTAGTTGAAGAGTTCCCTGTTTCTTCATTCCTGCCATGAAGAAAGAAGTGAAAACTTGTTAATACCTCAACTTATTAAGCTGTTTGGTGATTGTCCAAACCAGTGCACTGTTGCTTGTGACATTTCACTGCCCTTTCTTTGGCTCTCTGTATTAATAACTTCCAAGAGTTGCTTGTCTGTGCAGTGAACAATTGTATCTCCATCTTCATGCCATGGGACAAGGTTTGGAACAAGCAAAATAAAATAAATAATAGAAGAAATGTTTTGGTATTTATTGTGTTGCTTTAATTAATGTGGATTAGGCAATAGTAGCAAAATGTCTGTCTATATTATTTCCCTCTCTCTCACACACACACTCATCTATCCGTTATAAGTGGATAATAATATTAGTCTAACCATTAGGGCTGGGTAGGTTTTTGAGAAAACAGGGATTACATAGTACATTATGTGAAATGTTTTGAGCACTCAGAAATAATTCTTAGTTGTTGTTACTGAGTTGAATCCAGACGTAGTCATTCCTATAATAAGACCATTGAAATCCATAGAACTTAAGTTAACCTTGACTAAATTGCTTCATTGATTTCCATAGGTGTACTCTAAGCATGACTAATATAAATCATTGAAGAAATTGGCTGTAGGAAGACAAGGGAATTGAGCTTTACATCAAATCACTTTTCTTCAAACACAAACTTTCTCTCCAGCTGAGATAATTTTAAACTTTTTTCAGTGTTTGGTCTAGTGTTGTACGACATTCAACAAAAGGGGGTTCCCAAAAAGCTGTTCTCAGGAAGTTCATGGTGGGGCGATTTGATGAGAGCAAGCTACCGGCAAAATACTTTGTCTTCCATTATGGATTCCTGTTGGAAACTAGATTATCTGATGATCAAGACGTAGGCTGGTTTGGGTGTGCTAAACCAGCACTTTAAACTGGGTCCAGAATCTTAAATTAACACCATTACAGTCTCTCTGTTAGAAGATCGATTTATCATTCTGTGTCTGAACAGGAGTAATCTTGGGTTACTCTGGGCATCTGAAAGTGTCCATAACACACCTTAAGAACATCTTTAGAATTCATTCGCACTCCATGCGTCTTAGCCAACACTTTGAGTGTAGGGCTGTTTTTGAAATAGTGAGTTAACCAGATGAGGCAGTCACAGCTCACGTAGGGCCAAAGGGGGCCCCATAATCAGGCCCATAGTGAGCAATCATGTGGAGAAGGAACCTATGGCTTGGTTCCTGCTCAGTGATAACAAGATGCCCTTGGTGTACTTTCTAACGGCAAAAGGAAATACAGTACAGCAGCACAAGAAGCTGAGTTACCGACCCTTCTAACCTGGCATTGTCTGCTTTGATTGGCAGCTCTTTTCCACTAGCTCAGGAAATTGCCTACTGCTTGCTGCTTGATTCTTTGAAAACTAGAACCGGCAGGGGCTGAACCAGGACTTCTGCATGCAACGCATGTGCTCTTCCCCGCAACCAGAGTTGCCCCTCAGTGACCTCCAGCAACTGTATGCTAAATAGGCATGTAGAAAACAGAAGCTGAGCAGGTGCAGCTTGGCCTGCAGGGGCATCAAAAGTCACTCATCTCCCTTGTCGCAGTATAAATGTGAAGTTCTGTCTGATGTTTTATCTGCATACATGTATGTGCACAGTGTAATAGAAAGACTTTTTTTAAGTCACTAAGCTGAACAGTTGCATCCTTCTCCCCCCAGAGAAGATTTATTACCCCCAAGAAGAGGACATCACGTTGCATACTATTAGGTGCAAATTTATTATAAGTCATTATATAGAAATACAATAACTCCCACCATTGTGGAGAAAACTTGTGTGTCTGTTCACTGAAACAGAAGACTCTCTTCTGCCAGGACTCCAAAACAGAGGACTATTCTTTGCCCAGGAGGGTGAACCCTAAAGGTTGGACCAGCTAACATGCTGTTCTAGACAGTAAACATTCAGGAGCTATCTTTTTCTGCTATTGAATTCCTAGGGAAATACACATTTCTAAACGTGAAAGGACGACGCTTATTTAGAAGGCAGCTAATGTAATAGTTGCCTAGTAACAGGAGATGGCGCTAATTGCAAGTAATTCAAGACCAGACTTGCCTTCCTTAAGGGATAGCGTTAGAAGAATCTTGTCAGAAGAATGCAAGGACATTTGCCAAAAGAAGAGGAAAAAACAGAAACAAACAAACAAACCACCCAGCCAAATTGCTCTTCTGCTGTATGAAGCATGGTGTGAGGAGCTGAGTCTAACCACCATTCACACAATACTCCAGAGCAAGACTGCCTGTGAAACCCACAATTTTGTGAGCAGATGTTCACTTATGAAATAGGCATTCCCCCCACCCAATCCTTGCAGCCCTATCCTGCAAAATCTGCATCCCCCAAACTATCCAGAGCAGATTTTTGAGGGGAACTACAAGGAAGGAAACACTCCTTTCCATTCTGATGGAGGCACTTCCATCAGTAAGACGATTTCACTGGATACCAGAGCTGTGGGAATTAAAATGGGCGCTAGACCCAGGCTCCAAGCACTGCCCAGGGTGCCAGGTTAGGGCGAAATAAAGCAGGGCACACAGCTGGCATTGGCACTCAGACTTCACACCTGCCCAGTGCTGATGTTGGCCCTGAAAGCCAAGAACCCATGTTTTGTTGGAAATGGGAGGGACCACAGCTTGATCATGCATTGCATGTAGAAGGCCCCTAGTTCTATTCCATGATTCTCCAGTTAAAAAGAATCAGGTATAGCTGATGAGAGAAGGGCTATTGCCTGAGATGCTGGATAGCTATGGTGCTCAAAGGAAATGACACTGAGCTAGATTGCTCACCTACAAAAAAGCAGTTTCTTATGTTATCTTTTCAATAGGCTGTTATATGCATTTGAAGACACACTTCTGTGCATCTATGTTGTAAAAGTTTAATAGTAAAAGTAGCACAAAAGAGTAAAGGCATAAAAAGCTCAATAAATATGGGGAGTTCTCTTTATCTGGCAGCTTCTTTGGGCTTAAAAAGATCAAATCTCTATTATCTGTCATGGAAGAACAAAGATGCTTTTCTTGCTATACAGTGGAGGACTTAAAAGCAAGTAAGTTGTAGAATTGCAAAACTGTGTAAATGCAATGTGGGTGAGTTTCAGAGAGATTTGCCAAATGTGTACCTCATTTACATATTGTGCATCTGTGTGATCTCATGTCCACTTTCCTTACCTAGTTTATATAAATTATAAATCTAGCACAACCATTTTAAATGAGCAAGAATATATGTATGTGCTGACAAAGTTGTACTATCCGTCCTATTCTTTTTTCATGTTTTTGTTTTGTTTTACTTACAAGGGAGAGCACTGAAACTATGGGGATTTGCATCCAGGTTAGATCGCATGGAATTGCAGCCTTTTTGATGGGTTTGAGTAGGTTTGCCCACTCAGCTCCACCCCAGTTGAATTTTTTTTTGCTAATCATGATGTATTTCAGTAATTCAGTTCAAATACTTTTGAACCCTTCTGAAAGAAGATTAGGGGTGGGCTGACTGGACGGCTTGCTGAAGCTAACAAACTTAGCTTTCAGTTACCATTTAGAAGTGTCTTCTAGATGGTGAATCCACGTCTTTTCTTTCCAACCACCAACATGCATGTCTGCATATGCTGTCATGTGACCAGACACGGATTAGAAGCTGCCCCAAATGCAGAAGAAAGTGTTTATAATGTCTTGTCCCCAACAATAACATGAGGACACTGCATGTTGGTACATGATACTCTAGCTGATTTAACATTCTAGCTGATTTTATTACATTTTAACTGTTGCATATTTCTATTAATGTTGTAATTGTAAAAGTTTTTAATGTTGTATGCCAACTTGAGTCCCAGGACTGGAAATAGTGGAATAATAATAATAATATGCTCAGACGGAAACTAAGCAATTCAATTCACTCTTCTGCCCTTTGAAATCCATGACATGCACCAGCCTTCCCTAAACCCACATTGTCCAGATCTGTAGAACTACAATTCCCATTACTCCCAGCTAACTTGGTTTTCCTGGCTGGGAACAAGGTACTCGAGCATATCTGGAGGGTGCCTTAATGGGGAACCCCGGCATACAACTGAGAACTTCAGCTCAGCTGACTTATGGACCACAGTCCAAACTATGCTTGTGTATAGTGCCCAGTGCCATAAAAGAGAAACAGAGATTTCCTCTATTCATGGATTTTGCAACACATCCTGTCCAGACCCTTATGTAGAGTTCAGTAAAATTGCTTGAGAATCAGCTTTCCCTAAAGTGAAACCAGGGAGGTGTATAGAAACCATGGAATCTTGGTTACTTTTTTTTAAAACTGGAAACCACTCACCCGCCACCCTAGATATAGCACAACAATTTATGTTGTGCCAAAAGGAAGCTTAATCATACAAATACATCAATAAAATACACCATCAAAAAGCCTTTCAAGGATTGGGGAATACCATGCTTCTCAAATCAGCAATCAGTCTTGCTCTACACACTCCATGGCTCCTGCTGTGGCTTACGTGTGGAAGCCCTGGAAAATGGCAGGTCCCCATCTTTGCAAGCTTGTTCTGTCCATCTGTTCTGGATTCGAAGGGCTGGCATACCGGTCAAGGGACTGTCTTTCTCCTAGCCTGGGAATTATGCTGAGACATTCAGCAGCAGGCAGAGCAGAGGTTTAACCAAGTCATTACTGGCAGGAATTTTCACTGCAGCAGTTCACTTTGCCTCCATACTGGACTCATTTGCAGCGCTGCATTTCACAAAAGCAGCTGTCTGTCCCAGCATGACTGGAAGCAAGACTTCTTCACCCTACTTCCAGGTATTATTGAGTTTCCCTATCCCCCTTTATATATTTCCTATTGCCAAGTTAAAAGAGGCTTTTGTAAAATCCGGTGATTTCTCTCTGTGTGTGCTTCATTGTACTGCATTATGCTATGAAACTATGACGATACGGTGTGTGGTGGTGGGAAACCTGAGCAGAATATTAGAATAAAAGTCACTTAGAGACTCGGCTTACTTATAAGTGAATGTAACTGACACACCAATGGGAGTTATTTCCGAGGAAATCTGTTTTAATAATGTAGTTCTGCTCTCTGCAGCCTCTTGAATTCAATGACAAACTTGTTAATGCTTCAGTGTTGCACCATGATGTCCTGAATTACACAGGAATAAACCCCACAGATTGCAGTGAGACTTGCTTCCAGGTACTGTGCTTAGGGTTGCAGTCCTAGGAACAGTTCAGTGTAGTCAGTGAAGACTGCGGTCCTAAGTTCATGCAAATATCAAAACAGCTCTGTGAGTTTCCATGGGATTACTCTCAGGTAATAGAAAGTACCTATATTTGATGGCTTTAGGTTAACCTATATGAGTTTGTTCATTAGATTTTCAGAACTCATAACTGGATGATTTACTGATAAAATAAAATGAATCAGTACAAAAGCACCTTGCAGTGCCTCTCTGACCAGTTTAACCTTGATGTGCTTATAAATTGTTTAAGTCTGTGTAGTCTTGGGTGTGCATTTATCTGTTCTACTGTGATTTCTTAAGGAAAAGGAGATATATGTTATAAGAATAGCATATATTCCAACACTCCTTATGGATTGGACAAGTTATACCACAATGGAAAATCCAGGAAGAAGAAATAATGCTGAGTTAGCAAAGGACAGAAAAATGCATCTCAAAGCAACAGAGCAAGGCACCCGCTCATGGAAGATCTGGATTTGCTGACATTCAGATGCAAATATACATGAATTTCCCCCACGTGCCCTGTTAGATATTTTCAGTTCTTTAAAACGATAAATCACTGGGAACTAATCAGTGTTTGAGAGCAGTAGTGGAATACTGATTGCATTGAATGCCTCTCATTCTCTAGAAACGGCTGCATTTACACATCTATTAGTTCATGCAATTAATAATACTATGTATATAGCAGGAAAAAACGTGCTGCCAATATAATCTATATGCCAGAATTCAAGTCTTTTCGAACAATTATTTATTAACATGTCAGTAAAGCAATGCAAAACATAAGACATTTTCTTCTTTCAGAGAACAAGAGAACATTTCCTTCTCTCAGTGTTGATGAAATGCATTGTACTAATACTCTGCAAATTGAACCTTTACTTTCCCCCTTTCCCACCCCCGCATCTCTCGCCCACTGCTACATGAGTGGAAGAGTGTGAGCTTTTATGAGCTGATCCTATATTAATATGTGAAGGGAAAGAATTAAGAGGCGAGTATATAAATTTAATGGGTCTTTTAAAAGGAAAGATGTGGAGGCAGGAAAAAAATGGGAAAATGCTACCTTAGACTAGAGCTGCTGACTAGTCTATAAGCAAGACTTAAATAGGTTTCAAGGCACTTGGCAAAGGATGCCCAAATCAGGCAATCATCAAGCAGCTTCCATTTTCCTATAAAGCATTTTATACTTCACTGATAATCTAATTACTTGCAGAAGCTACTTATGCAGTGATGGTAGACATTAAGATTTCCATGCTGTTGTTACCCACATGGCAACTAAAGCGGTTTGCTGCCTGTCCTGAAGGCCCATATAGCTGTTATATGGCATGGCACAGCCTTTCCAACATGGTGTCCTCCATGTATACTAGACTAAAGCTCTCGCACCAGTTAACTCTTATGCCACAATCCTATTCACCAGCTATGCAGACATACTTAGGAGTAAGTCCTATTTTAAAAAGAACTTACAGATATAGACCTATAGATAGCCCATTCAGTATGCATGGAGTATAGTAAGTCTCTGTCCTGAGGAACATACAGCTAAAATTAACATGGGGAAAAGAGCAGGGAGCCAGCAGGGAAATACTCAGCTGCTGTGCAATTGTTACTCATTCTACAAGCAGTAGGTGGTTAAACAAAAATCTCATGGAAGATCACCCCTTCCATGAACTGGAAGATGGGCAGGGATGGGACAGGAGGGACTAAGGGAAGTTGGATTGTGGTTTTTAAAAGTCTTGCTTCAATATTTATTATTTATTTATTTATTTTATTCATATGCCACCCCACGAGCCAAAGCCTCTCATTCAATACGAACATTGACAGCAAAAACGGAAGATGATCAAAATGGGAAAAGTTGTATTTATATGCTGAAATGCTGCTGAATTTTGAATGTGTACTAAATGTCAGTTCCAAGGGTGATGTAATTAAGCAAAGAAGACAGAGTATGTGATAAAGACACAGGTAGCTACTTAAGGTTACTCTTAAGGTTGAAGGGCATCTCATGTTTAACCGGGGTTGTTCCTATTTTCTGGTAAATGGCCTAGATGAAACATGACCCCAGTTTTGTCCTTTAAAAAAAAGGGGAGGATCTGCACATCTGTACAGCAAAGATATGCAGTAATTGAGCTATTTCAATTTCAGTCCTTTATCTTGGGTCTCTCCAAATTAAACCTCCAAGCAGGCAATGGATCCATGGACACAGGACCTTTCCTTGCCTTTGTCCTTCTAGCCTAAGACATTCTGCTCTGACTGGCAGTAGCTTTCCGGAGTTTCAGGTTGTGGTCGTTCCCATTATCTGCTACCTGGCCGAGTGGAGATGCCAGGTAATTTGCACTTTGTCACTGTGCCATGGGCAATCCTTTGCCGCTTCTTCCATCTCCCCATAATTGCCAATACAATGAGGAAATGCTGCTGAAATGTTGTAGTCCTTTTATAACCAGAAGCATTCTGTGACCAAAATCCTATCAAACTCATTAAGCTGTTTTAAGAAAGAACAAAAGAAAAGAGCAATGCATAATTTGCTCACACATTCTTGTTTCTGAAGCTAGTGCAGGGTTGGATAGCAGAAACTATGAGAATATATTGGATGAAGAAGAAAGGAGGCTGATAGACTCAGTGTGAGATGCATTACACATTCATGAGTGCGCCTATACAAAATAGCGTATCTCCACATGTAAACAATTGGAAAGTTTATATGCACCCCCTTCTTCACGATAGCTTCACTTTAGTGTAGAGGGTGTCACAGCTTTGGAAACTGGTTCTGTAGCCTTGGCCTTGTGGGCAATGGTCCAAATTAAATCAATTGTTAACTCTCACTCCATGGATAAGTTAGGAAAATAGCATCATTGCCAATAATTACTGCTGTGAATGGTCACTGCTTAGCTGTTGTACATTGCAGATACACACATTGCAGATATACATCTCAAGTTAGGTCTCTGGCACTCTTGAGCTTTTACATTTGGTTTCTTGTGTGCATCTTGGGGATAACACTTCATGAATGTGGTATACAGTTTGGACAGATGATTAAGGATTTGGGAGACCCAAGTTCAGTTTTCCAGTCAGTCATACATACACAAAGTCGTATTTGTACTCATTAATCTATCTGCCATTCTGGTTTTATATGTCAAACATTTAATTGGTAGTTATTCAGATGTTGCAGACACTGAGTCCATGATATTGTATTTATGCATTAATGTGTTAATAATAAAATTACGTATTTCTAAAGAACCTTGTGGAGCACTTGGACACGCAGCACAGTTAAAGTATGGAATTTGTTACCACAAGATGTAGCAATAGCTCTAACAAAGATAACTTTAAAAGGAAATTGGAGGAGTCCATGGAGGAGCCAGCCATTAGGGGCTACTAGTCATACTTGACCTCCAGTGTCAGGGTCAGCACGCATCTGAAATGGGAGGCTGCCATTTTATCATTTCCTGCCTCTGGGTTTCCTAACAAGCATCTGGTTGGCCACTATGCGAAGAGTTAGCCCAGCAGCGTTCCTCTTCTGTCCTTACAAACACTCGGCGTGGAACAGGGACAGCAAAGTCCAAATCCCCATGAAACTGCTAGCCAGGTTTGCACAGCCCTTGCCCCCAGCCTACTTCCCAGGGTTGTTGTTAAGATAAGACCCCGCACAGTCAGTGGTGGTGATGGTGGGAAGCATGGGCACTTTGGAGAAAGGCTGGGAATACTGCTGCTATGACTGAAGTAGATGCTGTGTGTGCTGCAGCCTTCCCCCACCGAGAATGTGCTGGCCCCGAGGGCGCCACCCTGGACCGTGCGCGCGCGCGCGCGCGCGCCTGCCTGCCGTGGTGCAGCACCCCGCGCTTCCCACCGGTGGCTCCGTGAGGGGCCTTTCGGGTGGCAGCCCCGAGGCGCGGCGGCGGCGGCTCTCTTAAGGCCCGGCCCGGCGCAGCGCGCTGGGCTGGCGGCTGGGCGGGAGGCGGCTCGGGACGGAGCGGAGGCTGGCGAGCCCGCCGCCAGGCCAGCCTCCCTCGCCGCCCTGCCGCTTCCTCGGCCCGCCTCGCTCGCTTCCCTCCTCCTGACGTCAGGGCCGCCCGCCAGCAGGGGCTGCTCCCCGCCTCTCATTGTCAGGAGGAGCCCCGGTGCTGCAGCCCTCGGGTGGCGGAGCAGATCCCAGCGGGCCGCCGCGCCGCCGCCTCGCGGCCCCCGGGGGTCTCGGGCAGCCCCGGGCGGGGACAGCCGGGCGGCCGGGCGTCCGTGGAGCCGCCGCCGCTCTGCGGAGGGGAGCCCTCGGCGGACCCGCGTCCCCGGCACGGAGGCGGCGGACCCGGAGTCGGTAGGTGAGCGGGGGGGCGCGGGCGCGGGCGGGGGGCGCCGGCGGGGGGCGCGCGGGGCGCCGACCCTCCGCCCGCCCTCGCCGCCTCTCCTTCCGCTGCGGCTGGGCTGGTCCTGGGCTGCCGAGCGCTGCCAAAACCAAGCTGGGGCTGGGAAGGAATTCAAGGCATCCGCTTTGTTCAAGTTGCCAGTGTGTAGACAGACCCTTAGAAAACCAATTGGCGACGGGGGGGGGGGGGGGGGGGGCTGAGGCCGCCTCGCCCCTCCCCCATTATTATTGCGCTTATTGAGACGAGGACCATTATTTAGGAAGGGGTGGTGGTCGTCTTCGGGATCACCTTCGCTTGCGGGAGACTCGTGTGTGTGCGCGCGCGCGCGCGCCTCGTTCGGGGAACTTCCCGGCCGTCCAACTTTTCTCCCCGGGTGACTCTCTGCAGGAGAGGGCCAGGCCCTTCCTGCAGAGGAAATGCCTCTAGGAAAACGGCTTTGAGGGAAACGTTGCACCACGCCAAGGAACAAAGGGGAGGGGGGACTGGCGAGGGAAGGCTGGGGCCCGAGCCTAGGCATGGGTTTACTCAGAAGTAAACCCCATCGCGTTCAGTGAGGTTTACACTCCCCCACCGCGCGCGCAGGCACACACACACACCCCAGCAAGTAAACGTGCATAGGATTTTGGAGCCCTCCAGCTGAATCTTATGAAGGGTTACTCAGAAGTCAAACCCCCCCCCCAATTTCCCATGACATTCACTTTGGAGGAGGATTTTAAGCTTACAGCAGCTTTTCTGATCTGCTTCATTCTGGTGTAAGGAAAGGTTGTTGTTTATCCACCAAAACATTCTGGGTAATGTACATGGTTCCCCTGTTTTGATCTGCACAACGACCCTGCAAGGTAGGTTATGCTGAGTTAATTTTTCTGTGTGGTGGGGTGCGGAATGGACAACCAATCCTTTGTTGTTGTTGTTGCAGCTCCAAAGAACTCTGAACAGTGTGTATGGTTCCCTTTTTTGTCCTCACAACAACCCTGTGAAGTAGATTAGATGCTCTTTGTGTGTGTGTGTAGGGTTAGGGGGAGCCACTTGGCCGGCCAGCTCTGTAGCCGAGTACTAAACCTGGTTTTCTCTGTTGTAAGTTGCAAGACTCTGGTCACTATGTTAGTACTTCCCAATCTGGTGCCCTTTAGTTATATTGGACTACAATTCCCAGCATTCCTGACAATTCCTGTGGTTTAAAATCCAGGACATCTGGAGAGCGTGTGATTAGGGAAGGCAGAATTGCACCATGTATGTTTATTCAGAAGTAAACATGAGTGAATTCAGTGGGAGTCTAACCCTGTTCATTAAGTTGGTCCTATGAACTCACTAGGTTTTATTTTGAAGTAAACTTGCCTGCCTTCAGTCCTATACATACTTAGTTGGAGCAAGATCCCAAGATGCTTTGTTGCTTCGAAGAAAATAATGCTGGGAAACCTCTGAATGTTGTTGACTTCCTGGGTGAACTTGGAAAGTTATTCTCTTGGGCCTTAGTTTCCCAGTCTTGGAAATAGTTATGCCAGTGAGCAAGGGGAATGCTTCTTCCAAGAATCCTGTGGAATAATAGCCTTAGGGTTACCACCATCTTCTTCTGTAAAGGTTTTAGTGCCTTTTACAGGGCTGTGACAGGTTGAAATTACGTTTTCCACATCTGCTGAATATATGCTTGTTATGCAGCTGTTAAATGTACAGGAAAACTTGCTAAAATGCTTTTAACAATATAGTTAGTGATAAAGAATGGATGTAGCTAAGATATATATTGTTGTATGGTGCAAATGAATCTGAAGGGGATGTAGAACCTTAGTATTTCAGAGCTGAATTGTGACTGAACTCCTGGGATCAGGGTTGACTCTGTAAGTGTTAGGAGATGTACTTCCCAGTGGAGGGCTTTTCACTGCTGGGACCAGCATGGTTTTTATTTCTGCAATACCTGCACTAGTTGTTTATTACAGTGTATCCTGCCCTTCTAAGGAACTCAGAGTACATGGCTGTCCCCCAATCTTTTGTCCCCAGGACACTCTGAGAGGTGTGTTAGGCTGAAATATACGCGTAACAACTGACCCAGAGTCATTCCACCAGTTACGTACTGAGGCTGGGAGGATGAGGACTCCTTTTGCTGGCACTTTAACTATACCGCATTGTCTAGGTAGGACATACTGCTCAGGTTTGTGCATCCATAATGATCCACCAAAACAGAGATAGGTATTTAGACTCCATCTCTAGAGTTAATGGAGTTGAGCACCAATTTGCAAATTTACCCTTACAAATTCTGAAAGGGGCAGTGATGGATATGGCAACGCTGTAGTTCCTACACCAACTTTGGTTGTATCCTCTGGTATAATAATAGTACTAATAACACTGAAGTATGATTGTAGCGTCTGTTAAAGGTCCTGTCTTTCTTAGTCCATATTTATAGTTTCAGATGACCTCAACTCAAACTCACATTTGTCAATACTGAAGCAGGACAAGTCTGTAGAAGGTTATTATGGGACGGGGAGCTGAATATGTATACACTGGAAAATCTGCTGCTTTTAACATTAGGGCAGGACAAAGTGTAAGTTCAACAGTTGGTAATGTGTTGGTCTTAATGTGTGTGTGTGTTTATTTTGCTGCACTAGGTCTGTTGTAAAGATCCATAGTGAGAACCTGCATAGATCCACCCTTCCATCGTGCAGGCAGAACAGGGAAATCTTTAAATGTAGTAACAAGCTGAAAATTCTTCTGCGTCAGAAAGACTTATTTAATCAGACTTCACCCCCAGGGTAGAGATGCTTTTGCTCAATTTACTCTGAGGAATTCCACCCCCCCCCCAAAATGAAACCGTCTTTCTTGCTCACAGGGGTAGATTTTGGGTGTGAATCTAAGCATGTTTATTGCCTTGTAAGTTAATTTCTGTTCATTCAGGGCTGACCAGCGAGTGAGCAAGCCTGTTTTGGGAGGATTGGAAGAAGTCAGTCTGTTAATTTTCTGAGGAAACATGGCATTTGTTTTCATTGAAGAGCCCTGGAATTTGGCACTTTTGGCTGCAGCCAGGCTATTGTCTGCAAAAGAAGCAGGCCAAGGGTTTGTGCTTTCCTTAATTATTAATTGTGCCTGATTGCTCTCTTGTGGTCACAATACTGTCTCAGCCAGAGTTCCTTAGCAAGGTGTAGGTGGCTGCCCCATCTTTCTGTCCCCCATCACTAAACTGCACAGTTGCTTGAATGTAAGGCACTTCTTACTGGCTCAAGAAAGCTGTTCTTTATCATCACCTATCACTACTGGGAAAGACACATTTGTGCCTTTCATGTGCTGTGAGATAGAAAGGATTCTCTGAGGAAAGGATGTTAACAGCTTTCTCCTAGTGCTTCATGGGTTTTGGCATTTCCAGCCAGCTTGGCCAATGGCTGTTCTGTGGACCAGAACTGAACAGAGATTATAGTTGTTCTTCTTCACAAGAATCTTTTCCTGGTTAAAATAAGCTTTCTTCATTTCTGCAGTTTCTGTTTAGAGAAGGGGTGGGCAATAATTTCATTGCTGCTTTGTGTTAAACATCTGGGAGACAGAAGTCCTTGCTGATCTGCTTCAGAAGATCTAGAGATCTTCCAGTAGATTCCAGTCCACTCATAAGCCAAGGCAAGGCAAATTAGACTGAGCATCTTAGGGCCAAACTATGCATGCAAATTAAATGCAGTTTGCATTATCTGGAGGGAACCTATGATTTAATGGCATCTTAGCAGGAGTGGAAGGACTGTTTAACCCTTTCCTGCTCTGCAGTGGTCCTTAAAAAATCCCTCTGAGGAAGCATGGTAGGGAGTATTCTTTGTTGGCTCCAGCTAGATAAAAACTAATGAACAAGGACTATGTAAGAGAATACAAGATTCCGGCTCTTCCGCCTCTCTGAGGTCAGTAGGACAACTGGTTATACCAGGGCTTTTCAAACTTTCTCCTTGTAATCTTATCCTAAGTGAAGACACAAATGTTTGAGTCCCTTCCCCACCCTATCATACCCCACAACTGTGCTGAGGCTAAGGCCGACGTGAGCCATAATACTAGGTGTGGGACTGCTAGATCAGTGGAAAATGGTGAAAACAAGGCCCAGAAGAGGCCAAGGTATCACTTTAAGGATTAGAGGAAGGGATGGAAAAGTAATTTCTCAGTTATCTCCATCATGCAGCAGAAGTATGAAGCTGCTAGTGAAAGATGGGTTGGAATTTGGGTGTGTGTCTGTCCATAAATCACCAGACTCTTTCAGTTTGTGTACGGAATCTTGTTATGCAGTCAAGAAAAGGTTAGCATATAATAACCATTTTTATTGAGAAGGCTGTCACGTAGCTGAATGATTTTTCCAAACTAAGTATTTAAAATGATCGTAGAAGACATACTCTTTGTATACACTGTACATGAGCTCAGGGGTTAGGTGGCGGGGCGGCAAAACTTGTATTGGTGGATAAATAATATGAAGTGGCAGCTATGATGAAGTATCATGGAGGACGCGGAGGTTAGGGTGTGACGGGAGCAGGAGTACTGCAACATTTTCTTACAGGTCCCACTTCCATTATTTATTCCATATAATATTTCGTGATGATATTTTCTCATACTCTGGGATCTCCTCCACAGGGGAAAATGATGGCAACACTTTTAAAAATAATTTTAATAAGTGGAAGGGAGAGCCATACAGTGACTGGGCAACAGTGTTTGAATAAATCAGCCTGGCGGATCTAAAATGGTAACATATCAGCATTAGTTACTCATGAGCATTAGCATATGAGTCACTTGAGTTCCCATGTTTTTCTCTTTCCCCAGCTTATGATTACATGTAAGTTGTTGAGTATTTTGGTTACAGATTGGGGCACTTCATGACGTTATGGACTCATTTGGATCCTGACTTGGTCATGTACAGTGTATATTCACTGAAATTTCATTTAGTTATGACTAAATTATTTATTTCAATGATTCTGTTCTTAAATGGCTAAGTGTAGATCCAATCCAT